TTCAGAATCATCTTATCGTGCTGATTTTGATGTCATTTAACTCAACCCGTCGAGCTCTTTTAAATGAGCTATCGTTTGTACTATTGAATTTTTTATCCAAAATTCGCCTCTCTAGTTGTTTGGATTTGTGGATTTTATTGTCTAATTTTATTTTATCCATCCCTTTTTTCTTTGATCAAGACATTTAATATGCTTGCTGTCTTGGTAGTTTTATCTGCCTTGATAGTTTTACTCTGCCTTTATAGTTTAATAAGATCAAGAAGGCTTTATGGATATATTAGGAAGAATCCCCTGATATCCTTCGTTATCTTTTGTTTTCTCTATAAGTCCTATTATTCACTCCAAATCCCTAAATATCCACGATATCAATATGCCCGGAAATTTTATAACTCAAAAACGATATGGCACTCGTTGTTATTCTGTGATTCTTGGTTGAAAAGGTTGCAAGAAAATGATAGACATTTGATTCGCCTGTGTTTTGCATTTTTCCCGTTTCCCTCCAAAACAACAGATATTTTACTAAACACTTAAAATAGGATAAAAGACGATTTGTAGGGATCAAAAACGTTTGCATGGGGTTGAACGGATATCAAAAATTAAGAAGCATATATCCAAATTTGACCAAATATTTGATGTAATTTGTTTCTGTACAAACTCAAAAACTACTTTCCTTACTTCGTAATTTAATATTTTAGAAAAGCTGCTGGACTATAGCTATTTCTCTTTTTTGCTAGCGAAAAGGTTTTTCTGCGGCTGGGAGTGACATTTGGTTTCTACCTCGACATTTGGTTTCTACCTTGTACCCCCAATATCTTGATCTTCCTCTTAGTTGCTTGAATCCCTTGTGATCCCTTTTAATCCCCGAATACGTTGTTAGCCCTTATTATCCACGAATTCCTTGTTCTTTCTGTTTATACATAGTAATCTCTCCGTTACACCCTATATTAATGCCGTTCTGTTTATTCCTTCGGAACTCTTGTGTTCCCTATTAACCTACAACACCCTTGTTCTATCTGATTATATACAAATCTCTTGCTATCTCTATTTTGCCAAGAAATCCCCTGTTGTTTTTGCTAATCCTCTTTTATCTTGTTTTCCATTTTGAGTTTTTCCTTTTACTTGCTCTCACTTCTTCCTTTTTCCCCTCAAAATCCCCTCCTAATTTTGTTTTTCGCAAAAACAGATTTATGTGAATGCCTTAATATCTGATGATTTCTGTAGATACCTTTTTTAAACAAAATCGAATCTTTAATAGAATTGGCAATAACATTATTCTAAACTAAATACGGTAGAAATATGGTAAACAATTAAAATCAGAACAAAATTAAAAGGTAAAAACAAATTAAAACAAACAAACATCAGAAAAAACGAACCTAAACAGAACAAAAGCAGTCAATAAAACGAAAATTTCTGCGCGTTCATAAAAATTTAATTAATCATTTTCTTGAGATTAAGGAGATTCAAAAGCTATCTGTAAATCCAAAATCTGACAGTTTGTAAAATTTTTGTTTTTTCTTTTCAAAAAATTTGTATTTCTTAAAATATAGTTTTTTTTGAAAATAGAAAAGAACACAAAACCGGTCCGTTTTTGTTCAAGAACTACACTTTTGTTCTAATTCCTAACAAATTTAAATTATCACAAAACCATAAAAATGCGGAGAGGTCAAACTTTCGGTGTTTACTGTTAAAACTATTTAACATGGTTTAATAAAGATAAATAGTTTGTAAAAAATGAATTATTAAAAAATAATTTTGCGATAATAAATCTATAACTGTTTAACAACCGCCGCTTACTACCAAAGTCGCCAGCTATTTATCTTTTTTCTCCCCTTAAATCCACTGTATTTGGGTCTGGAAATTGTGCTAACTTAAAAGGTGCTCTATTAAAGTTTCATAGTTGCGATATAATGGCTGCGTTTTATTTACAGCAATAAGTGTGTGCGATTATATGGCACACGGCCGGTAATGCTGCGATTAAATGGCGGACGGCTGGTTGTTTATTGTTTACAGTTAAATTTAAAGCAAAAATTAGAGAAAACAACTTTCTTTGTGAAAAAGTGCTAAGAGAACATTTACGCGGCTGTGTTAGAGAATTTTATTCTCTTTATTTTTCTCTTTTATTTTTAAAGTCTTTTGTTTATTTTTCTCTAAGTTAACATTAAAAAATTTTCGCTTTAATAAAAATTCACTTTTTAAAAATGAAAATTTGTAAACAAAAAGTATTAACTTAGTATAGTTAATTAGTCTATTTTTATTTATTATTTATTAATTCTGATTTAATTCTTTTTTAAATATTAAATTCTGATTTATTCTTTTAAATTAATGTCCGCAAATATTTTATTTATTTTTGCGCACATTTTAAATAATTAATAAAAAATATTTTTAAAATAAATACAAACAATTTATTTATTTTATTTTCTGCTTTCTTTTGGGCCTTCCTTTTTATTTTCTTTTTTTTTCCTTCAATACGTTCCTTTCTTTTAATATGCTTGTTGTCTTTATGCGCACTTTTAATATTTACTAGTGGTTATTGGCCCTCCTCTAGGGACCAACAACTAAAAATATTTATGTAAAAACTCTCGAGAATCGCTTAAAATTCTTTCCACTCTTTTGGTGCAAAATGCGGAAAAAAGAAAAGAAAAAATAAAAAAGGGCCACTTTTGAACGATAAATTGTTAAGGGGGATTTTTCGCTTTCTTTCCCCCCTACTTTCTGTTCCTTGCTTTTTTATTTTTAAAAAATTAAATGTTTCAAATAAAAAAATTTTTTCTTGGCCAAATTTTAAAAAATATTTTTTTTCTTTCTTTTTTAATTTTAAAATTTAATTTTTGCAAGCCAAAACTAAACAATAATCATTTTTAATATTTGTCAAAGTCAAAAGTTTAAACGGGGAAAAAATAATTTTGCTAAAATAAATTTTTTTTCAACTAATTATTTCAATTAATTTTTTTCTTTTAAATTTTGGGAGGTGACGTGTAGATGTGTAGATTTTTTTATTTAATTTTTAATAAAAATTTATTTTAAAGAAATTTGTTTGACTTTTTGACTTTGTTTAAATTTATTATTTTAGTTGAAAATTTGCCTCTTTTTGTCCTAAAAGCCATTTTATTTTTGATTTTTGATTAAATTTCTAATTAAAAAAATTTTTTCCTCTTTAAAATATTGCTTTAAAAATTTAAAATAAATTCTTAAATTAATTAATTCTTTATTATCATTTTGAATCCTTAACATTTTACTAAGAATTCATTAAAAATTCTTTGGCGGCCCTAAAAAATTTTTTTAATAAATTTATTAAATTTGTCGTTTAATAAACCCGATAAACGCCAAAATAAATTTCAAAAATAAAAATTTTTTTTCTTTAATTTTTTCTAAATTCGTTTTCCCAGCAACTATCTAGAACAAAATTTTAAAAAATAAAAATGCCTAAAGATATTTTTATTATTTTGTTTTTTTTGTTTTTATCATGCTGGGAGGGACAGACATGCAATTTGTTTTTTTTTAATTTTTTAAAAGGGCCATAAAAAATTAAAATTATTTTTTCTAACCTAACTGGCATCCTTAACTATTTAGAAAAATAAAAAAAAATTATTTTTTATTATCAAAATTAAAAAAAAAATTTAATTTAAATTTACTGGTACCCCTTGATTCGCCGCGAGCTTAAAAATATTAAAAAAAAATAATTTTTAAAAATATGAATTTATTTAACAAAAAATTAATTTTAATTTTTAAATTAATTTCCCAAGTGTTTTAGGTTCTAAAATAGTTTTTAAAAAATTTTAAAAGGATTTTAAAAATTAAAATCGCTCTCCATTTTACAGGAGCTCTTCCATTAAGTTGGCATAGACTAATGTATTCTCATTTATCTCATTTATATCCTTTTAGTTCGTTTAACCCCCGCCTAAGCGTTTTAAATGCTCTAAGTGAATCATCCTTACATTATTTAAAATTTTTCTTTTAATTTTAAAAATAAATTTCAGCTTGGATTAACACTTTATTTTTTAAATTTCTTAATTTTTAAGAGCATTTATCAACAAAAAATTTTTTTAAACAACAAAAATATTTTTTAAAATTTATTTTTTTTTCTTTAAATCACCATTCAATTTGACACGTCTTTTTACCTTTTTCTGTTCTTTCTGCGCACCCATTTTTTTAATTTTAAAATTTTTAAACGTCTTTTTTGGCCTCTTTAATGTGCTCATCCATTAAAAGAATATTTTTATTTGACTTTTAAATTTGTCTTGTTTTTGTTGTTAAATAAAGGTAAATGATTTATTTTTTTGTCAAAAATAAAATTAAAAATTAAAGAGGATTTTTGATTTCTTCCCAAAAATCATCTAAATTAAGGCTTGAAAAGCCGGAAATAGGTCAGTCCATCGTAGAGACACATATAAACCTTAAAATGATACCATTAGATACATATGACTCGAAAACATACGTCCAATAATGGCCATTATTGTCTAGATTAGACTTTCTTATGTAGGGTGTCGGTTCAGAACTGAACCGAGCTGAAGAAACGAGTATTTTCTGTCTGTTCCGGATATTCGGAGATTTTCCAAGAATCGACAACTCTATTCTTAGGCTTATTAAAAATACTTAGCTAGACTGGGATGTGCTAAATTGAGGTGCACCTATCTAATCTACATTTAACCTCAACATTGGTATTGGACTTAAAGGCCTTTTGTGCCTGAGTGAAGGGCAGGGAGGGTCGAGTTGATAAAATCCGGATCGGATTTTAGGAAATTTCTTAGGTCAGGTTTTGTGTAGCCTGACCCATTCAAGCTTGGGACGGATATGTTGTTCCTTCAATCCTTCCCTCAAAATCCTATCCATTTCCAATTATTACCATTTAAATTTAATATTTCTTTTATTTTTACAGCTTTTAATAATTAATTACTACATTCGTCTTCTTCTACTTTCTTCCTTTTTTCACTGCCATCTTCTCTCTCTCAATAAATAAAATTTATGATTACATTGCGCATGTAAAAAAATAAAAAGTAAAAATGCTGCCTAATATAAAACAACTAAAATTATTAAATTTATTAAATAAAAATAATTATTTCTGTTGGCCTTCCATAATTTTTAAAATTTTTATTTTTTGCCTTTTAATAATCCCAGAAGATTTGGCCGCCCATTTCTTTCATGACGATTATTTTGATTTTAAAGATCCTAATAGAACGTATAGACCCAAATATTATTGGTTAACTTTGTCTATAAGGTAAAATTAATTTTAAAAAATTTTTGAAATTTTTTTGAATTTGTTTCCAAGTTTATTTTTGTTGAGGGCTTAAGGCTGTGGGATAATGCTAACACCCACACCTTAAAATTCTTGATCTCAAAAAATCCTGGACTTTTTAAAATGAAATTTTGCAGATATTTTTCTAACATTGGAGACTACCTTTTAACAAAATTTCAGAATTTTTGATTGGCTATTTTAAAAGTTAGGGTCAAAAAATAAACAAAAAGATTGTTGTGAGGACGCTAACACGCACACTTTAAATTCCTTATCTCAAAAAATCCTGGACCTTTAAATATGAAATTTTTTGGAGATTTTTCTAATATTGGAGACTACCTTTGGGCAAAATTTCAGAATTTTTGGTTGTCTATTTTAAATGTTAGGGTCAAAAAATTAACACAAAAAATTCGACTTTTATCGCATCAAAGCTTGAATTTTTGAATTTAATTTCTCAAATAGTTTACCAAAAATTCTGAAACTTGCAATGGGACTGGATAACACTATTAGGGATGTCTTTACAAAATTTCATCGCTTTCGGTTTCATTTAAAAATTATTACAAGGCCGCGCTCTAAGGAGAACAACCATTCTTTTCCCCAAGCATTCTTTTCCACTGAGTCTTAAGCAGCCAAAAATAAGAAAACTTTTTGATCTACTTACTAAAGTTAAAATTTAAATTAAGATTATAATTAACTGATTAAATAATCTATTAAAAAATTATTTTTAAAGAAATCATAATGTAAGTGAAGCTATATTCTTTCGACTCCTTGGCGTAGACAACACAGTTGATTTTCACATCTCGCCTGGGCAAATATTTACAAATAGTTATCAGGCAATACAAAAATATTATTTTTTATTAAAATATATTTTTAATTTTCTGTCTAGGTCAATAGAAAAGGAGCTTGGACATTATTCATTGAATTTCCCGGTGACAGGTGAGAGAAAAATTTGAATAATAAATTGGATGGGGGAGTTTGCGCATGTAAATAAAATTGAAAAATGAGCACTTTAGGCTATGAAATTTTGCATAGATAACTTAAAGGGCCTTAGCTATCTCAAATAAAAATTTCAGAATTTTTGGTTAATTATTTTTAAAGTTATGGACTAAAAGAGGCAAGAAATGCGCATTTACCCTTGGATGGTTGAATATTTTTGCTCATAATTTGGAAAATACAAAATAAAAAATTCTAAAATTTTTAGAGATTGTAGATAAGACCATTCAGAATAACTTTCCAAAATTTTAGGAAGTAAGGTGATCATTAGACTGATTTATAATAGTCCGCGCCAAACGTTCCTGCGCCCAAACTGGGTTAAATTAATAAATTAATTAAGGGAAGAATTGAAATTTTTTTAGCAAGAAAATGAAAAATCCTTGAACCTAAAAACCTAGAAAATAATTTCTCTAAAATTAATTTCAATTTAATAAAGGTACGCAAAATCTCCAAGAAAAATGCTCTCTCGTGACTCTTACTCCCATTGGGTAATGGAGGTAATTAAATAAATATTTTTTTATTTAATTCTAAAATTTCCAAAAAAAGGTATATTCATTCCCACCCGATTCAATCGGATTCTCAGATTGGCATAAAATGCTTAGACCAAAAAATCAACAAAATAACAAAAGCAGAAAACAAAGAGGAAGGCGTAAACAAAGAGGGAGGAGACATCATAATCATCATTAAAAAAATTAAATTTTTGAGCAATAAATTGAGAAAAAATAAATAAATATTTTTAAAATTATTTTTTATTGACTTTTAGTTTGCTTTAACGGATACACGTGTTGTTTTTAATCTTTTTAAAAAATCGTGGGTTACTCTTGTGGATTCTCGTGGCCGTGTTAATCTCGAGAATTTTCAGCTAGAAAATACAAAACATATATTACAAAATACAATACGGAAACATAATTAAGTTTTGTAGAAACAAAACATGTTTTTAAAGAAATACAACATGTTTACAAAAATAATGTTTTTAAAGTGTTTCGCAACAAAGTTTTAGTGTTTTGAAGAGACAAAACATGTTACGTTAATTGATTAAATAAAACTTGAACATAAACAAGTTTTAAAGTTTTCCAAACAAGTTGGGATGTTTTCCAAACAAGTTTGGATGTTTTCAAAACAAAGTTAGAATGTTTTTCAAACAATTTTTTTGTTTCACAAACAAAGTTTAATTAATACAACTTAAAAAAAGTTTTAAATATTTTACAAACAATGTTTTAATGTTTTTGTTAACATTCAAGTTTCTATGTTTTCAAAACAAAGTTGGAATGTTTTACAAACATGCTTAATTAATACAACCTTAAAAATTTTTAAATGTTTTACAATCAATGTTTTAATGTTTTAGAATGACAAAACACGTGTTTGTCAAACATTATTTAAAATTTATTCTAATCCCTTTTTATAATACATATTAATATTTTCACCTGAGCAAAACACGTTTTAAAGTTTCTATTTGCTTATTGTGTTTTTACATTCAATAAAAAATATTTTCAGTGTTTATATTTACATACAACCTACGCAAAACCAAAAAGTAAATATTATTTTATTTTCTCGAATTTTTTTTGGGTTTTACATCATTCAATTTGTCAAGTTTATAAAGATTTATTTATTTTTTGTGTGTTATTTTTAATAAAAAAATTTTATTTTTATTTTTTGTACTCTTATTTTCCTTGTTTTTATTAAATTTAATAATATTTTTTAAAGAAAAAAAATATTTTTTTAATAAAAATATTTTTATTTTTAAATTTTGAATTTATTTTTTTAATTTTTTATTTTTTCCGGTTTATATTTTTCCGTATATATTCAGCATAAAATGGAAGAAGATTTTATTTTAGTATGAGGAAGACTTTTTTATAATCTCTCAGTTATCCTACCACAGAAATACTTCGTTCTCTTAGTTATTCAGCTTCGAAATAACTTCATTTTTAACATATACCGATCTAACATACCCCACATTTATCCCTCTAATCCAGCCCAAACATTTCCTTTTAAAGGCTATGTCTAGTCCAAGTTACAATAAATGATTCCAGCTCCCCAGGTTTCGAACGGGACCAGAATCACAATCGGGACATCCATCCTATACTTAATATACAACATAGCTAATATATACAACATAATATACAACTAGCCGACTCGATTCTTAAAATTGGGGAGGATTTTCTTCGGGGGTTTTTTAAATATTAGCAATTCCCGGGAATCGTGAATTATGTTTAGATGTTGGCGAAATATTTTTTGTAGTTATTTTTTAAGCTAAATCTCTAATGCCCTCCTGTCTGAATCTTGGTATTTTTTATTTTTTTTTTTAATTTAATGTTCCTTATTTTTAATTTATTTTTAGGCGTGGGTGTCTTTTAATATTTTAATTGCCCATAAATATATTACTAATTCCCATTTTTAACAACCAAAAAAAAATTCAAAAAATTACTGATCAAAATTACCAATGTTCAGCTGACTGTTTATTTTTATTTCCTCATTCCTTAATAATTTTTTCCCATTAACAAAAATTTTTTTCCTCAAGAAAATTTTTTTTTCCTCAAAAAAAATTTTTTTAACCAAATTTTTGTTTCATTTCCCCCACTCTATTATATTAAAATTCTTTCAAAATATAGTGATATAATTAATTGACTGTCACGTGAATTTTTTAAACTTTTATGTGTTTTATAAGCCTCTCTCCTTAATTTTCTGATGTATCTTCTTTTCTGTCCATTTTTAATGAAAAATATTATTCATTTATTTAACAAATACCTCCAATATATACTAACTACTTCAACTCAACCCTGACCATTTTAATTAACTTTTGGCCATTTCTGTTATTTTTTAATTTGTTGACTCCTTTCCAAATTATACCTTAGAAAGCAGTTGACTATTTACTTAGTTTATTTCTTTTCATTATTATTGCCTGAAATCGTTGCTTCGTGTGAATAATAAGTTATTTTTATTATTTTTTTTTTATTTTTAAATTGGACTCAAAACTTTCATTAGTAGTGCCCGGACGTTGTTTCCGGGCACGGATCCGGATTTGCAACTAGAGCCGGACCGGATCCAGCTGGAAAAATCCGGAAATAGACAAAAACGCGGTTTTGGGACCCGGATCCAGGAATATACGGCCGGTCCGACGCCGGGCACTATTCATTAGACATGTAAGCCTCTAATGGAGTAACAAACTCGAGTTGAGCCAAGTTATTTTCTACAGGGCGTGTACACACTTCCCCCTCCCCCCTTTTTTAGAATATATGTCCCATAAGAATTTTGTGGTTTTTAAAGATGATTTTTATTTGAAAACATTTTTATGGTTTTGGATTTATTTAAATTTGATTGGACTAATTCAAAGCCATTTTTGTGTAAGTGAAATGCATGGAAAACTAAATGATTTCACGCTGACTGACTATAAAATTCAAAGAACGCTAGGGAAAGACTGCCAATCGGAGAAGTTAGTTCAAATCACAAGCTTCTTCCTTTTACATTTTTCCGCTCAGTCTTGTGCTCGATCAAACGGTCGAGTGAATTTTATTAATTTCGCCTCTAGGAACACAGATCCACATCTATTCACCATTCTAGAATAGGCTAAGCCGCCCCCTATTTAAGTTTATCAAGGAAATACTTTCAATTTTAAAAATTGACGACTGGTCCCAGACCAATTCTCTATCAAAAACAAATTAAAAAACAAATTATTTGATCACTAATTTTTTCAAAAAAATTTTTTTGCCCTATTCAGAGTCTTAAATTTATCAAAAAATAATATTTTTTGATTTTTGATAAATACCAATTAATTAATTAATTTGGCAAACTTTGACACTCTCTACTCAACACATTTTACACAAAAATGCCCCCTTCGTTTAATAACCTTTTTAAAAATAAATTTAAAAAATTCTCATATTAAATTCATTAAAATATCATGAATTCCCCTCATTTTTCAAAAATTCCAAAATTTTTGAAAAATGATTCATAAATTTATTTTGGTCATTTTCATCATTATTCCCCCCAAAATCACCAAAAAATCCAAAAATTGACAAAAAATTTTTTTTCAAAAAATGACTCATTTTATTTATTTATTTTGGCCCTTCTCGAATATTCCCGAGGAAGAATTGATTAAAAAATAAAAAGAAAAAAAATATTTTTTTTATTTAAAGGAACGTGTGTAGGCGTTTAAAAGGTGACACAATCTTTGTGCATATAAAAATAAATAAATAAATTTTTTGTTGTTTATTTCACTCATTTTTAGACCAAAAAACATTGGACATTAGTCCATGTTTACACGACTAATAGGCGCAGACAAATAGGCGCAGACGAACAGGCGCCATTTTTCGGCGCAGCATGTTTTCGGCGTTTAGTGTGTTTATGTGTTTTTTCCTTAAACGCCGAAAACATGCTGCGCCGAAAAAATGGCGCTTATTTGTGTGCGCCTATTTGTCCTGCTCCTTTAGTCCATAAATATATTTTTGGGGGAATTTCAAAATTTGTTTACTTTTTTAAAAATTATTATTTATTTTTGTTTACTTATTTTCTTATTTATTTTGTTAAATTAAATTCCCCTCCTAATTTAGTAATTTTTTTAAAATTTTACTTTTTTTAGTAAGCATTAAGAAAAAAAATATTTTATTTATTTTTGTCTACTTTTTAATTATGTTTTTTCTCATTTTCTTATTTTTAAAAATATTCATTTTTATTTCTCAATATTTTCCTACCACATTCTTCAATTTCTATTTTTTTCACTAAATTTCGTAACATTTTTTACTCTTTCTAAATTTGTTTCTTACCCATCTTGTTTCCTTTTTTTCTCACATGCATTTCAAGACTGGGACTTGCCAAATTTTTAAAAGCGGCAGACGGAACGTAGAAAAAACGGAACAAAATAAAAAGTAAAAGGCGAAGGTGGAAGCGGAAGGGCCAAAAGACGCAATTCTGGCGGACGGAAGGCGGGAGAAAGTAGGGTTGGGGGTTTACCTTTTGGTATCGGTATCAGAAAAATTGGTATCGGGATTCCAAAAAACTGGTATTACCGGCCGATACCGGCCGACTCTAGGAGAAAGCCCATTCCTTATACGTAATTTATTTTGATTTTTAATCTCAATTTACTAGAGAATTTGGATAAATCGGAATAAGGCCGAGATTATCGAAAGATAAGTCTGGGATTTTACAGCTGTGGTAACACAGAAATTTTTGTTTTTAGAGAGGATAGGAATGAGATTCCTAGGTATTGAATAGGAAGGTTCTGAAAATTTAAATATTAGGGATTAGAAAGATGCCTATTCATTTAAATTTCTCCTCATTTCCCCCACACAATTCAATTCAAAATAATGTTTAAATAAAAAATATAGGAAGGATAATAAGGGATAATGAGGGATAAAATAGGAATTTTCTCAATGAGGGGGATAGAGCTTCCCAAAAGTTAAGACCAGACAAAACCCCTTATGATAAACAGGTGATTCATAAAAAGTGATAACATGTAAGGAATGCCTCAAGGCTTGGATTAAATAAAATTCAAATATTAAGGATTAAAAATATGCCTGCGTGTGTGGGAATAAATTAAAAAAATGTTTATGTGTACTTTTAATGCCTTAAAAATAATATTTTTTATTATTAATCTTCTTCCCTATTCATTCCAGGAAAATAAAAAAAAAATTCAAACTGCGTCAAAAAGGTATAGAGAGTTTTACGTCAAAGTCCCTCTCCAAATACGTCTTTTT